CCCCTCCCCCCCAAAAAACAACACCCTAGACTGGCACTAACTGAAATCTTTGTTTGGACTTCCAGATTTATGCAGAAGAAATAGTGCTGCAATTTCCCTGTTTTGTCAGTGGGTCGGGAACCGGCTGGCTTCTCAGCTCAAAAACGAGTCAGAAATCAATGAACCTTGGAAGAAGGCAAGGAGCATCTGGCCGAAGTACTGGAAGTTGATACCTTGTTAGAAGCAGGTAAACGAATATTTAACAGGCGATCGCTGCCAGTTACAAATGGGTTTACTTTCTGTTTTGTATGTGGAGGTGGCTTTGCATACTGGTTTGGTTTGGTTTTGCGTCTGGAGATGGCTTTGGGTCCATGCTTGATATCTCAGACACTGCATATCCGAGCTTGTATTGTTTCTGGACCACTTTGTTATTACCTGCCCTGCCCTTTCACTGCACAGGGAACTGTCCATGGTGCTGAAGGCTGAAGGCTCTCACACCCATACACGGGGAGCAGAAAGACAAGAGTGTGGCCGATCTTGGTCTTGGTCTCCATGGACACATCCCTTGATGATCTTTTTTCTAGTTCCTTCATTGATGCCCTTACAACTCTCAGACTTCTGATTTCTTGGCTGCCGTCTCCATTTGGATTGAGGATTGAACCAAGGTACAGTGGTGCCTCGCTAGACAGTTACCCCGCATGACAGTTTTTTCGCTAGACATTGGCTTTTTGTGATCGCGACAGCGATTTGCAAGACAGTGATTCCTATGGGGGAATTTCGCTGGGCAATGTTTGGTCCCTGCTTCGCAAACCGATTTTCGCTAGGCAACAATTTTGACAGCTCCCTCCGTGCTCGCAAAGCGGGTGTTTTTGGGACCTAAGCTTCGCAAGACAGCTATTTAAACAGCTGATCGGTGGTTTGCAAAGTGGCTTTCCTATGGCCGATCTTCGCTAGACAATGACAATTCTTCCCCAGTGGAACACATTAAACAGGTTTCGATGCATTCCAATGGGGAAATGCTTTTCGCTAGACAATGATTTCGCTAAAAAGCGATTTCAGTGGAAAAGATTATCATCGTCTAGCGAGGCACCACTTGTATACAAAATCTCTAGTATTTCAATTTCTTCTAACTCAGCCAGTCAGTACCCCTGTACGCCACCCTTTCAGGTCTCCAAATAGAGTGCCCAGTGATCATGATGGGGAACTTTATAGGGAAAAAACAAAACAAAAGATGGGTTTCATTTTTCAGCCCAGCATCTGGCACAACCATTCTAGATCGGATGTGCCAGTTTGCCCACCACAGGGGACATGTTTGCAGTTGTGGAGTGCCCTTCTCTCTCTCTCCCTGCTGCCCTCGAGTCCTCCAGGATGCCAGCCACTCATGGCTCTCTCTGACTGCTCTCTCATTACAGCAATTTGCCCAAGTGGCATTGAGTGCCCCGGGTCGGATCTTGTCCGTCTACATTTCTGTCATTAGTGTAGCAGCAGTTTCTCGTTAATGAGGGCTTCTGGAAGCTGGGCATCCCACACTGCCTTGACTGGGAGGGCCTTCAGGAGACGAATCCTGCGTGGCACTTTCGAGAGACTGTACGGACCCAAGGATGCGGGGTTCAGAATCAACCCTTGGAGAGGTGGGTGGTACCATCCGTGCTTAGGGCCTACCCACCAAGACTCAGACAAGAGAGTCCCATTCTGTTTGTCCCTGTCCTGGAGAACAAGAAAGCCCACACGTTGGGAGGGAAGAGTCTGGATTCCGTGAAAGCAGCCTTCTCCTGCTCCAGTACCTTCCCCTTGTCCCAATAAACACAAACCATCATCCCCAGCTACCATGGGGAAAACAGGAGGTGTCATCCAAACAAAATCCTCCTGGAGTGTTGGAATAGGCAGGAGGTTTAAAAAAACAAAAAAAGCAACTGGCGTGCTGTGTTTCTAAACAAATTGGCTTTCCCTTTTGCAAAAAAAGGGTTGGCAGAAGAACGGACCGCCTGGCGGGAAAGCATGTCAATTGTCTTCCACTCACCTTTTCCTTCCTGGCCGGGAACCTCGCTGGGGGACGGTGACTCATTGGAGCTGAGCTGCAGAAAGGAAAATTTGGGGAGGGGGACGGGAGAGAAAAGGGGGGCTCGTTAGAACAGGCGGTCTCTGGCCAAGCAGCTTTGTTTACCTTCAAGCTCTTGCGTGCCCCCCCCCGGTCATTCAGACATCCCTACATGGCCATCAGCTTGTCAAAGTCACAGGGGGTGGTGGCATGGGGGGGGGGAAAGCTTATGGAGCAGTTGCCAGAAGAGTAAGGATATTTTATACAGGGTGGGTGCATGTATAAAATGGGAACCCACCAATTTTTCTGGATCCTCCTTTGTTTTTTAAACAACCCTACCGTTTCTCTGTCGTTCGATTCTCCACCACAGTGGCCTTTTCCCTTTGGAGAAGTTATATAAAGGGGAGGCGACTCGATGCGGAGGTACTAGAGTTACTGCATGGCGAGCTAAAGTTAAGGCATGTGACAAAGGCTCCGAGAATCAGCAGGGTTCTGGGGATTACGGAAATTTCACTGATAAGGAGAAGAGGGGAGTTGGCCCTCCTCATAACCCCAAATGTATAATATTTGCAAATTCATGGAGAAAAGCACTATCCAGCACAAGGTGACACAACCCCCTTTTTTTGTTATTTTGTCTCCAAGTGTGGAGGTAGAGGTTGCGAGTTCGAATACACCCCTCTGGGCCTTCTTGACAGCAGCTGGACTCGATGGTCCAGTGGTTCCCTTCCAGCTGTGCCGTTCAAAGATTATTTTTTATTATCCTCGCATGTGTACAGGGAAACAGGCTGGACATCTACATATTAGTCTCACCAGTTTTCCTGGATTTTCAAAGGGGACACTAGTTCAAAAAAGATTTAGAATCCTATCGATTAGAGGCAAACCCAAGAGATACCTACATAAGTGTCCATAGATATTTCTTGGAAGTACAGTATATGATAAAATTTGCTGTTGATTAAACCTTGTTGGTTTTGCTGCAACAGACTGCCTTAGCTACGCCTCTCAGAAACTGATCAGAGGTGTAATTCTTCTTCTTGTTCTTATGCGCCATCAAGTCGGTTAGGGCTATGAATGAGTGACATCCAAAATGCCCAGTCCTTAACAGACCTGCTCTTGCAAACTCATGCCTATGGCTTCTTTTATGGACTCAATCCATCTCCTATTGCGTCTTCCTCTTTTCCTGCTGCCTTCAACTTTTCCTAGCATTATTGCCTCGTGCAAATAACTACAGGCTCAGAAGTAATCTAGGGGCTTTATTTCATGGCACACTGGTGTGCGTTTTAACATTGTTCTAGCAGCCCGCGAGTGTCCAGTCTGTAGGCAGGAAATGCATGATTTCCCAAGAGGCCACAATCTTATCTGAGGAGTCGGTTGAAACAAGGCTCCCCCTTCCACCACTGTCTGCTGTCCTTGAAGATCTCAATCATGATTCCAATGGCAAATCTCAATTGCCTTGATTTCAATCAGCCAAGTCTTGATAGGAAGGCATTTAAATCTCCATGGCAGGCGGACAGAGAAAAACCCCTTTGCACAAGGGGGAGGGAATTCATTCAGAGGTGAAAAGCAGCTCAAGGCAAGAAATCATGTGTAGTCTTCCCCTCCCCATCTTCTGCTTGACCCTTTTGGGAGGGACAGGAACTTAAAAGGGCCATAAACCTTCCATTACGTCTATTTGCATAACAACGTACACCTCCAATCCTGCAGCGCCAAGATTTATACAGAAATATTGACTAAACAACAAGGCCAGCGCAGGCAGAAAGTATTTCTTGATTAATGTCTAATTATTTAACACAAGGGGTTCACCGCTGCTTGTGTTGCTGCAACAGAGTCACTTCAATATGGCTTAAAAAGCAAAACACCAAAGCCCAAATATCTCCCTGCGATGAAATGTTGCAGCATGCTTCTGCCCATAATTCTGCACTGCATACACAGTTTTTTTGTCTCCCCCCTCCCAAACAGGCACTTAGCATTTCAATGCTAATTGAGCTGGCTCTTTCCTCAAGCTCCCCTTTTTTTTCACGCAGAAGCAGCTGTCTTAATTCCACCTCCAAAAACAATAATATGGTTCTTTCTATCCTCTTAAAAATCTGTGCATTATCCTCTTTATTCCCTTTACAAAAAACTCCAGATCTTTCTTTCTTCCATCTGGTTATCAGTTCTTCCCTCTAGACTCCCGTTCAACATTTTATTTCTTTCTCTTTTTTAAAGACATGGTAACTTTAATTCCTTTCGGCGGTTGATTAAATTTCTTTGCATACATTTAAAAAAGTAACATAACTAAGAGAGATCAGTTCTACAACCTGATGATGCAGTATTCCAATTTAACATTGCTTGGTTTGAGTAGGACTTCCTCAAATCAATCAATCACTCTTCCCGGTTCTACTTTTACACATTGCTCATTATAGTTTAAGACTTTTTCGATGCCTTCGTGTTTTTTGAAATTGCTCATATATAGCAGTTCAGTCGTTTAGATCTCTGGCTGTGGAGCCAGAGGTTGGGAGTTTGAATCCCCCCACTGTACTTCTGGGGAGAAGAGCCAGCCTGGGTGGCCTTGGGCAAGCTGCACAATCCCAGGGCTCCCCCTAGATGAAGGGAAGGGTTAAGCACTTCTAAGTATTCTCTACCTGGAACACCCTGAAAAGGGTTACCATAAGTCAGAACTGACTTGAAAGCACATGATGATGATGATGATGATGATGATGATGATGATGATGATGATGATGATGATGATGATAGCCATGTTACGATACATGGAAACCATTGTTTAAGCAAGGTGTCTTGATGTCCTTCATTGGATGATGATGATGATGATGATGATGATGATGATGATGATGATGATGATGATGATGATGATAGCCATGTTACGATACATGGAAACGATTGTTTAAGCAAGGTGTCTTGATGTCCTTGATTGGTTGTTGCATATATTTTGGGAGTGAGTCTATTGTGGCTTACACTTCTTGTAACCAGGTTTCTACTGAAGGCTTAGCTAAATACATCCAATTCCTTGCAATCTCTAATCTCTCTTTGGTCAGTAATTGTGAAATTATTATTACAATTTTGTGCCATGTTTTTATGGACCTTGTTTTGGGCTTTGATTCCCACCCACCCAACTTGCAGGCTTTTCTGGATGTCAGCAGACTTGGGTAGTGAATTTCAAAAGAGCCAGCGGCGATGGTCTGTTTTCTTTAGGTATAAGAGAAAGGTCTGTGGTACACTTGGGACTCGCGCCACCGTCTGCTTTTGCGGACCGCAATGCGTTTGCTCAGACCTTTCCGTGAACCTTAATAATAGTTTAGGGTCGTCACTCACGCTGCACTCAAAAGGAGGACCAGAAGAAAGTGCGGATCTGTACACAAAGACGCTTGTGCTAATATAGGTACAGATGCAAACTTAGGATCCATTTTTGTCAATATAAACAGAATATAAAGGTGCTTTTCCCTTGAAGGGAAAAGACAATAAGTAGGTCAGCTGCATTCAGGGGCATCTCACAGTGGATAATGGGCAATCTCAGGCTCCTTGATCTTCCTTTTAATGTTTTTTTAATCTTTAAATCTGTTGGAGTTTTAGCAACCTCGTATGCTGCCTTTAGTAGGCTTGGCTGGGAGGGACCTTTCTGGTCTGGGGTGACTGTCAATCAACCCAGCAGTAACCAATTGTTCTTCCCTACCTCTCTGCTTAAGTAACTCCCGCCCCTCTCTTTTAGTACGCTGGTAGCTAGCAGTTATGCCGTTAGTATGGTTCGAACGTAGTCTGCAGGAGTTTGTGGTTTTTTTTTGAAGCAGTGAATCCGTCGAGGCTGCAAGCCAGCCATGTTTTGTCCCTTTGCTGTTTTATCTATTCTGAACTGTAAGTAAAGAAAACTGTTTTCGTTCTTTCTCCTACTTACGCCTCAGAGTGAGTTATTGAGACTGTAAGGGTCAGTTGATGAGAAAAAGAGGTGGTCTATTCTGGGGAACGGGAAGCTATTCTGCTGCATAGCTTGGGTTTTCGTTCTTTCTCCTACTTACGCCTGAGAGTGAGTTATTGAGACTGTAAGGGCCAGTTGATGAGAAAAAGAGGTGGTCTATTCTGGGGAACGGGAAGCTATTCTGCTGCATAGCTTGAGGAATTTAACCAGAATTCAAAACTCTGCCCCAACATCGGACCCGGACTGGACCGCCTTTGAGGTGGCAGACATCTTCAATACTAAGAAACAAGAAGTACATGTAGAATAATAACTATTATTACTCCATCTTATCTTGCATCTGCTGCTACTCTCTCTCTCTCTCTCTTGCTCTTTGACTCTGGCTGCAGTTCAATGACCACAGGAAGATTCATATTAGAAACCAAGAGATTCATAAAGAAGGCACATTCACATAGATCAAATCCATTAACTGTGTTCATTCTTTATAGCTAAATGGATGTTTCCCATCTTTACCACCACCCTATGCTGGTGTGTTTGAGACCTGAACAATAAGGGTTGCTTTGGAAGGAAGGAAGGAAGGAAGGGCAAGCAAGCAAGCAAGCAAGCAAGCAAGCAAGCAAGCAAGCAAGCAAGCAAGCAAGCAAGCAAGCAAGCAAGCAAGCAAGCAAGCAAGCAAGCAAGCAAGCAAGCAAGCAAGCAAGCAAGCAAGCAAGCAAGCAAGCAAGCAAGCAAGCAAGCAAGCAAGCAAGCAAGCAAGCAAGCAAGCAAGCAAGCAAGCAAGCAAGCAAGCAAGCAAGCCAACAACTTCACACCTTGTTTGGGGGTTGATTTACAGTTAAGGCAGGGAGTGTGAGGTTGTGTTGTTTGAAAGGGGGAAATACAACCAACCGCTGCTGACAAGCATACAACTAACCCCAGAACATTATTATGAGCATTCTTTATTATCTGCATGGCATAGAGGAACAGGGAGAAGGGGAAACGGAGAAAAGATATAGCAAGCAATGCAACTCTCCGTGGGAATACCCCTGTGCAAGGATTGTGGTGGCAAAAGCGTTTGCGTGCGTGTCTAGATCTGTGGGGGGGGAGGCAGTACTGCAGCATCTTACAACTAACCCCAGAACATTATTATGAGC